CTGAGCGTCTGCCTCCACAATCGTCTCCGAGTGGCTGAGTATGATGAACGATTTGATTGTTTTCAATGTACGTATTATCGAGCAGCTGAACTAAGTTGTTCTTTTCGGTCTCCTCTTCCTTTTCGTGATAATCAGCCCCGAGCTCCTGTACGCCGCTTTTCATCGGCAGAAAACGATCGGGAACGTGCTGGGAGGTGTCAGAGGCTTTTGAGTTTTAACCCAGACTGGATTTCTCCCAACTGGTATCCAAACATTTGAGTTGAAATGCCAGTAATGAATAAACTAACGCCTCTGGATCCTTGGCAGGCTGGGGTGGTCTCTTCGTCCGTGAGCCCCCACTGTCCAGAGGGCCAGCCAGCCAGACCTGATTTCTAGCCTAAAACTACCACCCAGCCCCCTACGATTTGTTAATAATTAAAAGCAAGAGAAAAACGCATGTGGGTAGCAAAGAAGGGGTCACAAGAGAGCGCAGGCCCCCACAGGCTCATTCTTTCCTTCCACGGGCGGGTCTGACCATGAATCCGAGCCCGCCCTCAAGCGGGCGCGGCCAGGCCAAAGCTGGCTTCACGGGAGGGGACGGGGGGCTCCGGCAGACGGCAGAGCTCCGGGACGGGCTCCCCTCAGGACCCCGCGTTACGCCTGTCGCCCAATAAGGATGTCGTCTCGTCGGCACTCCTGCGAGATTCTGCAACGAAAACACAGACGGGGCGAGTCTTCAACCAGCAACCCCACCGATGTGCTGATAAGAGGGTGGGGACTAGGAGTTAGAGCGTGGGGACCGGGAGCCAGGACTCCTGGGTTCTCTCCTGGCTCTGGGAGGGGAGTGGGGCCTGGGGGTTAGAGCAGGGGGGCTGGGAGCCAGGACTCCTGGGTTCTCTCCTGGCTCAGGGAGGGGGCTGAGGTCTGGGGGTTAGAGCAGGGGGGCTGGGAGCCAGGACTCCTGGGTTCTCTCCCCAGCACTGGGAGAGGGGGGTGGGGTCTGGGGGTTGGGGGTAGGGGCTGGGAGCCAGGACTCCTGGGTTCTCTCCTGGCTCAGGGAGGAGGGGGAGTCTGGGGGTTAGAGTGGGGGGGCTGGGAGCCAGGACTCCTGGGTTCTCTCCTGGCTCAGGGAGGGGCGTCTAGTGGTTAGAGCAGGCTGAACATTCCCTTCAACCTCTAACAGCGGCAGCCGCACCCCATGGCCATCTCCTGTCTCAGCTGCCGCAGCATCTCCTCCAAATGCCCTCGTGCCTCAGTTTACCTCCCTCGTGACCGGCACTGGGATGGATGATTCTCCAGAGCTGCTGGGCCTGACTAGCTTCATTCCTACCCTGACGTGGCCCAATCACAGATTGGCCAATCGTCGGTTCATTAGTGTCACCGGCCTCCACCCAAGTTTGCAGCTAGTCCAGCCGGTTGCAGGGGAACAGCCGCTGTTCCGGCCGGACACCACCTAACGCCGCCCCAGCCGGTCTGGAGCCGGATCCTGAGCCGATGTCAGTCTGGAGTGACTCCACTACCCTCCATGGAGTCAGGGCGGGATTCGGAGCTCAGACTAACTTGTTCACCTGGCCTCAGTGGGAGCTAAATATCAATTCAAAGGGAAACCGAGGCACGGAGAGGCAAACCAGGGATGGAACCCAGGAGTCCTGGCTCCCAGCCCCCCCCCAGCTCTAACCGCTGGGCCCCCTCCTCTCCCAGAGCCGAGGACTGAACCCAGGAGTCCTGGCTCCCAGTATCCCTGCTCCTTTGCAGATGGGAACGGTCTAGGGCTTGGGAAGAATAGCAGCGCAGTTCTTATTGCACCCAGTAGGGGGCAGTGCAAAGCGCAAGCGTCACTGCGGAGATGGAAACTTAAACCTAAGCGCAATAATATTCTATCCATCCCCATATACGGGCTCGGGCGCTGGATCTAGCCCACCTCCCCCTGGATCCGTATCTGTGTGTCTGCCCCATACCCCCGTCCATCCGTCCTCCCCCTGGCTCCATACATGTGTCTGCCCCATACCCCCCCGCCCGA